TACAGAACATGTTTACACGCACTGTTTACAACTCACTGTTAAACCCACACTTACATAATACTGTATGAGAGGCTTCTGTCAGCGTTTTTGATGTATGGTCAGATTCATAATTCATTCTCCCAATAGTCCAATAGTTTCTGATTGAAAATTAATATTGCTGATTTATTATTTACACCTACACGTTAGTTACACCTAGTGTTTACTTACTCTGTGGTGCAACCGCTTTTATTTTAATGGCTAACTTTGTCTGTCTGCAGGTAGCGTACAGTGGGTTTGCGTGTGGTAAAAAACTAAAGCAAAGTTCTTGTACGCTTTCTTGTATTTTAAATACAACATTTAACACACAAGTTTGGCTACTTTGGTTAAATTTAAATAAATAGATTTCATAGAAAACAAATCTAGATGCCTGTATAGTATGACCTAGGTATTGTATTGGCACTAGTGATGAACATTTCTGATACATGGCCCCAGTCTGAAGTCTTTTGTACACATGCGCACATCAAGTCTCTCCTGTTGAAATGTAGCTGTGTTAACTAGGTTGCTCTAATTGTGTACTTTGCTTTTGAAAACTGTGTCTTATTTTCATGATGTTTAAGACATCATCTCATAGTGCAGACGGTAACCTTGTTACTGAAGTGCATGTAATTGCGCCACTGGTTTGTCAGTCCCTGTAGAAGATATTTGTGTGACTCTAAAGAGATCGTAAAATGTAGATTTATACAAAACCTTCATAACTCCATTTCAGTTTTTAATAGAGATGAAGGTAGACATTATTTGGTGATAATTGATTTGACTGGGCTGTACAAAAACACGTTGTCTGTTGTTGTGTTTTCATAACTTTAGTTTTGTACCGTTTCACACATTTAACAGGAACTGTTTGAATTGACATAAATGATGGCAAGTGTAAAACCTGTGTTTCTTGGAGTTTTGGACGCATTTTTTATTTTGCCTTTGACTTCAACATTTAGGGTAAGGGTTTCCTCATCCTTTGTCTTATGTCTCCGTTTTATGTCATACATCCTCTGGTCCACCTGATCTGTCTCTCACTATCTTTCTCTTTTCTCCTCCATCACCCTCTTTCTCTGCTTTTCTCTCTCGCACTCTATGAAGCTGAAAATTGACTCTGAACCCAAAACTCAGGGGATTGGACTCTTTCAAGGTGAGACAAAGTGGATACAGAGAGAGAGAGAGAGAGAGAGAGAGGGGAAAACAGATGGAAAGAGAAACGCTGACAGCAAAAAAGGCTGTAAATATACAACACGTCTGCTCCCTCCTACATTTAGATTTTGCGGAATTTAGACATTCAAGTTCAAAATGACAAAACACTGAGGGCGAGTGTAGAGTACACACACACACACACACACACGTTGAGCTGACAGAATGTAAAGGGTTCATTAGTAGGAGGGGGATCGTCTGGAGAACCATTCACACTGTTTAATCAAAACCTGTTTCCCACTGAACACTGTAATGAGTCAACACTCGCAGACACGCGCACACACACACACAAATACACACATTATGTAAAAAGATAATATTCTGAGATATCTGGCTGGTATTCATTCACTTTAGATTTCAATAATGATGGAAGGTGACTCTACAGACACCCAGCGGAAGTACATTTTAGTACTGTACTGAAGTACAATTATGCTGCTCTGTACTTCTACTGACTACATGTAAATGATAAATGGACTGCACTTACATAGCACCTTTCTAGTCTTCCAACCACTCAAAGTGCTATATAGATTAAGCTGTATAGTAGTTAAAATGGCCCCACCTTTACAAGCTGCAACACTATGTATAGGACCAGTGTGTAGGATATAGTGAAATCTACGTAAGAGTGAAGTTGCAGATTGCAATCATTTGAATGCAGCTCAGCCTTCCAAGCGTGTAGGATAAACTACAGTGGTCAGAAAAACTTGTAAATTTGGGCTAGTGTAGAAACATGGTGGTTTAACGTGGCGGCCTACATAGAAGTTTGCTCTGTAGGTAAAAACAGCTCATTCTTAGGTAACGAAAACACAATTCTTATTTTCAGTCAATCACTGGATACTTTTATACTAAAGAAAACATGTAAACATGTAGATGTTAAAGGTCCAGTAGGTCACTTTTATAAAAAATAACTTTTTGTTAAATTTCACTATATCCCGACAATAGAACATGAGACAGATAATCTGTGAAAGAATCAGGCTCCTCCTCCTAGTGCTCCTAATGGCAATTTGCAAAACCAATCAGAGCCAAGAAAGATAGTTGATTGTTGAATCTCTCTTTTATATAAATGTTACATACTGCAGCTTTAAGTTATAAAATGCCCATTTTTTACTGAATTTTTATGTTTATTTATTTTCTGCTATTAAGTCTAAGATGTCCAACCATTTCATAATTGCACCAGCAGGCTAGAGAATACAAAGACACCAGTGTGATTCCTGATTCATAGAGCAGATTATTGGAATGTAGAAGCATCACACACACACACACGCACACACACACACACCTGTCCTCCTCACCTTGTCGAGGGAGAACATGGCGAACACGGGTCCATCGTGGGCTTTGACTGTTTTCAGTAGCAGCGGTTCCTTCCAGATGTAAACGTCTCCGGTGGCCGCGCCGGAGAACACCAGTGCCTCGGTGCGGCCATAACACACCGACATCATGGTCTCTGGTCGGCCAACACTCCTGAACGCACCACGCCTGAAGGTCAGACCACCACCTGGAGGACAGACAGAGACAGGACATTATACCATGATCAGTGTCACATACAGGGATCACCTATACGTAGAACAAAACTGTGAGTCCAGAGTTTTTTTTGCCTACATTTCTTTACATTTTGGCAAATCGTCTGCATTAAAACTATACTAAATTAATTGTTAGCAGTTCCTTTTTGCAGTGTACCCATGGACGTACAGACAACTTTCACTTCACTACTTTGATTCTAAAAATAATTAAAAACACCATGATTGTCAGGCCAGTTCTGCAGTTATAAGGAATGGCTTTTTCCATGATTTCTAGGTGCATTTATGTACGTTTATTCACAACAACAGAGATAATGAATCTAAGCTGTGTGTGTTCAGATTTGACTGAGTCATGACTCATGAGTGTGGATTTTGACTCAAATTGCAGCAATCAGGCACTAAATTTAAAGATCCCCTCACAATATATTGAACCGTAACCCCTGTATCGTGATACATATCATATCGCCAGATTATTACCAATACACAGCCCTAGTTACATGGATCTGTATCAGACTAAGGGGTCAGATGTTTTACCTGCGTGTTGCCAGAACTGGATGTGTTTGATTCCCACAGTGACCAGTTTGTCCATCAGCATGGGATTACACTTCACCACAAATATCTTCTCTTTATGACCTCTGAAGAAGAAGAGACACAAGTACATGCAGGATAAACAATTGCAGTTATATTAGTAGACAAGAAATAAAAGTAGGTCTAATTGTAGTTTGTTAGTTTTTTTTTTACAGTGTATGAACCTCTTAGTAGCTTACAGTGGTATTAGCTGTAGTTTTTTACAGTACCTGGCAGTAGCGAGTTTCTCTCCTCTCTTCCAGTCCCAGACTACAATTGAATGTCCGTCATCGACTCCCACTGACACCAGACTCTTCCCATCAGCTGCAACAGGAACGCAGAGAGAGGTTTTTACCTTTTTCATAAAGCAAAAAGCAGCCAACAGAGGGAAACTAAAGCTGGAGTTTAGCATGTACTCAAACAAGGTGAACACAAAACTTTGACTGTGTGTGTTGTATGAACTCAAGCAGACAGGGTACAGTTTATAATTTTTTAAGGATTTAATTGAGTGTCTTGCTTTTCTGTGGGGATTTGTGTGATTTAAATGGATAAATAAACAGCTAACCAGCTAGCTAATGATTTATGTGGATTAGCTAGCTAGTTAGCTCACATTTTGCTGACATTAGCTAGCTAACTTAAGCTAACTTAAGATGTGACTATATATCACTTTTATCTTTTTTATTTTCAAAATGTGGTTGTCTTTCAACATAGACTAGCCTCGCACATAGCATACCTATGTACAGGAAGGGAGGAAGTGGACCGAGGTTCTGACCAAGGCTTGATCAACTGTTATTGGAGAATGGAGCAAAAAGGGGTGGGACTTAGGAAGGGTCAGTTTTTCCTGAGGGGGACGTGAATGTGTGTGTGTGTGTTTTTAGAAGAAGGGAGACAATAAGGTAAATAACAATAAGAGACAAACATAAAATAACAATAACAAAAAATACATAATTTATAAAAAATGGGAGGAAAAGAAACCAAAAAACAACTAAAACAAAGAAAACCAGCCCCATTAGGGGGCAGTTAGATCAGTTCATCATGCCATCCATCACTTTGTATATCATTATGTTCCAGGAAATTGTAACAAAAATCCCAAATTTTCCTAGACTCAAATTTGTTTTTCGTGATAGCATATCTTTTCAAGATCAAAGTGAAAACTCATTCCTTTCAGCCACTGTGGAATTCCACAGATTGTGTTCTTCCAAGAGTATGCAATACACCATGTAGCCTCCAAGAAACAGACATTAAATAAGGACCTGGCATTGTTTAAAGATACAAAATCATCTGGGTAAATGAAAGTACAGAGTTTAGGATAAAGAGGCATAGGGATGTGAATGTGCATCCTGTTCAACAGTTATAGGGAGACTTCAGTCTGGATCAAAGTGGTGGACTGACTGACTGACATATTGACATCAAGGCTGAAAGTGAGGCATCTGAGAGAGAGTATCAGTACACACACACAGAATACCTGAGAAGTCCAGAGCACACACTCCTCTCTGATGGAAACCTTTCAGCAAAGAGAGACACTTCAGGGTCTGGATGTCCCACACATGGATGGCTGGGTCCCTCCCCACCTGCACACACACATCACATGCTTTTAAAATCCACTAATTGCATTCAAACATTTACAGACTGTGTGTGTGTATGCACCTGTCCTGTAGCAGCGTAGTCCTTCACCGGATGGATGCTGAGGCTCAGGATGTCGTCATCGTGTCCGAGGTAGAAGCGCTGGCTGTGCAGCTGCCGATTGTAGACCACGCCCACCGCCGCCACGTGGTACAACACCTCCCCCCCCTGAGTGTAGAACAGGTTGTTCCTGCAGTCATAACCACGGTACCTGCACACACACACACACACACACACACACACACAATAACAGAGCATTCATCATTATGGTTACCTAGTGGTGGAATGTAACATTTCACACATTTTTCTCTCCTAAAAAGTTTTATTTATCTGACAGCTTGATTTAATACTTTATTTACAAGTAAAGATTTTTCCATCCATTGTCACGCCATCTGAACATTGTGACTCTGAAGACATACCCCCAGCAGGTCTAACCAAGCCAGGCAGGTTTCAGGGTAGAGCCCAGACGAAAAGCAGCTCCTGGCCCCGGAGTGGGTGCGAGGCTAACAACCCCCTCTGTAAAATACCATCCTGTTGCAGAAACTGTGACAAACGCAAATGCTAAAACTACAGGTCGTGAAGTGGACTCCAGCCAATCCATTCACAATATGAAAGCCATTAACAGGAGGTCAGGAATGTGATAGACAGTCTAAACGAAGGTCCGTCTAGGAGCACAGAATGTCTGCACCATGTATGAGACATCCAAACTAACCTGTGTCACCAGTGAGATCTTTTAGTAAATCTGTTATATCACACTTTTAAAAGCCACCAGACTCCTTTGACAAAAACAGTAACTTTACCTCACAGAACACAGAGGTTGCCTCAATCGGCAGCCACTAATTCAGATCCAATCTTTGTATCAAAGGAGACTAGTGGCTTTGGAGACAGTCATCCAAAAGCTTCAGTTTCCTGTCAAAAAGGGCTATGGTAAAGCAGTGAAAATATTCTAAATGCTCCTGTCTGATTCTCCAAACTGCATGTAGAACAATCTTGTCTACTGTTTATACAAAAAAGGTCACTCCTTTATTATAACCAAAAACACAGGATTAGAAACTCCTATCACTCTTAAACTGGGCACAGAGAGGCTATTGTATTGTTTTAGAATCATGAAATAGTTTGTCAATTATTCAATCAGCCAACAATAATAGTTATTATAATGATAATTATGTAAAATTCCTAACTTGCCCCAAAAAAACAAACATTTAATTCCAGGCTTTTTGACTACGAAACACTCAGCAGCCAATATTGCCACCATAATGTGACGCACGCAATCTCTGACATCATTTAATGGGACATTCAATCAGTTCTTTTCTGCATTTGATTCAATCACAACTCTGCACAGACTAGAACATGTGCTATTAATGGAATATGTAACATTGTTGGCCTTATCTCTCTGTTAAAGTGATCTGTTTATGATAATGCTTGTCAGGGCTTTATAACAGCAACAACACTACACACACAGGGTTTCATTATTAAACGGATTTTACTTTCTTTGAACAAAAGACACGACACTTGCATGAGATGTATTACAGTGATCTCAATTATGAGTTTAATCTCTCTCTCTGTATTTAACCTTGTGCTGCTGTATCTTTAATAGGCTGATGCCATCCAAGCCAGATGGCTGTGAAGTGTTACAGAAATGTTATTAGGTCTGACCCAGAGAGATTGTCTGATTCCCTTTGTGTCTTTTACGTGACTTTTAAGTAACTCTGGCGCTAATTCAGACATGAGACCAGCGAGTAACACGCACACTCACTCACACACACACACATACAGTTTGATATGTTACCCGTGTACAAACTGCAGCCGGAGGCCTTGATCTGGTCCTCTCTGTCTCTTCAGAGATCCAACCTGCTGTTTCTTCTCTCTGCTCTGCTGTCGCAACTGAGGCAGGTCCTCCTTATACACCTTCATAAACACACACAGACACACAAAGAAAACTTTAATTTCTCACACCTACAAAAAAGGCTGTTTCATAATATAACAACTAAAAGTCAACATTAAAGTGTGAAAAACAACATACTCATTATTTAGCTTGTTTTTCAGAGTGGTGTGAGCAAAAAATGTAATAGGATGTGGAACAACGATGGCAAAAACAACAGGAAAGTCACAGGCTGGAGCTGCAGCAGTGACTGTGAGCTCACGGAGGTGAGTCAAA